ATGGACTGTAGATTTTGAAAAAATGTCTATAATTCTTTGAAAGTTGACAGTGAGCACCACCTGGGTCATTTTTGTAATTCTCCGGCTGGCTTAACCTTATTACCCAAGAAAGCAGTGGTAGTCCGCTTCTTGAAAGGCGAGTGATAGACGCACAGAAACGCGAATATTACGTAAAAAGAGCGTCAAAAATAGGGGGGGGGCAGTCTGAAAAATCAGATTTCTGCTCTTCTTAAAAGCACTGTATAACTTTGAACTTGACGCCCTTGGGAAACCCGATATTTAGAGTGATACGTATTTCATGAACGGCCCCGCCTGATATCGCTAATTACTATAGCTGCAATGTAGGTACATTTAAATTTCAATGCTGTAATTTTCCTTGACTAAATGTTCAAGGCGTAAAACAGGAGTTGGTGACAGCTCTGTGGCAAACAACGTCGTCGCTGAGTCGAGTGCGGTACAAGGTGGCTGGTCTGTCTGTGATAGCGATCCCTCCTACAGCCTTGCGTTTGACTCCAAGTCATGCGGCCAAAAATGAACACTTCGTCAAGATGCTCGAGAGTAAGTGCCTTTTGCGAACGCTGCCTGTGGGCTGATTATCGACATTGATAGACAAAGCGATAGATAAAAGAGACTAGGGGTAAATAGAGAGATCCTATTTGTGAAGGTAGGCGCTGTTGCAACGGGCAAAGGAGGAAAATAATAGACTAACTGACGGTAACTCACGAGTGATCCAGTAGTATGTGCCTCCTCCGTCCATAATAACCATCCGTTTTAACCAATATGCTAACTCCATTTCCCCTCTTTGTCTTCTTTGTCTATCGCTCTGTCTATATCCATTTCAATAATCAGCTTGCAAATTTTAAGAGAACTTCGGAGCCGTATTCATAGTTGTTCCTTAAACAACTGATTTTCCTAGAAAGGCCCAATATGGTTTCCATTGTGCACGGAGAAAAAAACTTCGTGCGTAAGACCCGAAGTTTCGGTCATATGGATCTCTGAAGTTTTTTGATTGAGCATCCGAACACTTAGGGTCCAGCTGCTGAGATTTGGATCACACATCTGCAACTTCAGTTCTTACATCTGAAGTACTTCGGTTTTTACATCCGAAAAACTTCGGTTCTCTTATCCGAAAAATTTCGGTTCTCACATCTGAAGTACTTCAAATGTAAGAACTGAAGTTTCAGATGTGTGATCCGAACCTCGACAGCTAGACCTTAAGTGTTCGGATGCTCAATCTGAAAACTTCAGAGATTCATATGACCTAAACTTCGGGTCCCCCGCACGAGGTTTTTTTCTCCGTGTGAAGATGACCTTCAAAATGGCATCATAAAAGGACTTCGTTCCAAACATGGAGTAAAATTCGTCGCTCCTCTGTCGTAAAGGCCTAGATACACACGGCGATTGATCGCCGCGAGTGAAAGACGGAAGCCAATGGAGAGCCTTCATTTCGATGTATCGACGTCAATGGATCGAAATCAATGCTCTCCATTGGCTTTCGTCTTTCACTCGCGGCGATTAATCGTCGTGTGTANCGCTCCTCTGTCGTAAAGGCCTAGATACACACGGCGATTAATCGTCGTGTGTATCTAGGCCTTCACGTCAGAGGATCAAGCGACGAATTCAACGGTGAAAATTTAAAACTAGCTATCGGCCGGCCAGGTTGGTCTAGTGATCAGCGCAGCGCGTCTGACTCTAGGTCAGTAGGTTCCGGGTTCGAGTCCCAGTAGAGGCGTCAAATTTTCACGGATCTGACTAGTGGATCTGCAGAAACAAATTCTTCTCGGCCTTAAGACTTAAAATTTGAAAGCCTGGAGCATGGATGTACCAATCCATTGATATTCACGGACAATTAAATACCGTCTGTAGATGACTGAAAGCCCTAACGGAAAACAAAGTCAATAAACCAGCAGAAAAAGAAAAAGAAATAAATGAAAAGATATATAGATTGAAAATGTAAAAATATACCAATGACTAGATATTTTTCGTGTATTATCTTTGGTTCCAAGGTATAATATCAGAATGGACCAGTGACATCTTGGAGGCGCTAAGAGACCTGGACGAAACCTCTCCTGAGTTTTTGCTCGTTCCGCTGGATGTTCTACAATTTTGGAAGTACAGATGTAAGGAAACTTTGTTATTTTATAAGTGCTAAGTCACCTCCTTTCGTTGATAAGCAAAATCATCATGTTCTCAAACTGCATCGTTTGGTCATACACTGAGTGACTGAGTGAATATAGGTGAAAAAAAACTATCATTGTGTTTCCAATGGGAAGCATTTAAACACGGGGTAGGGTGTGTGTTGGTGTGTTGAAAGTTACATAAAATGGTAGATAGTAAATGTGCAAAATTTGCAAAATCACGTATCTAATTCTGTTTATACTGCATACGCCTGAGTTGGAAATTTTATTGAGAGGTGCCTTCGTTCTTTGTTAAATTGCCAAAAATCATTCGAAACAATGATTAAAACTTGGCCGATGTTATCTCAACACATAAAGAAAAAATAAAATAAAAAAAAACACACAACAAACACCAAAAACACACAAAACACAACAAACATACCATAAACATAAGACATATCAATACATGGATCGATTATCGCATGTATGGCGATTTATAACGCAAACAAGGGTGCCTAGCAACGCATGCCTAGCAACCGTGGGCCCGTTCCTTTCCCCAATTGTACCATTTTCATACGATAAAATCCCGAAATTACGACAGGGAGAAAATTGAAATAGCCAGTATCACGCACAGTGCACACGCACCAAACTGGAAAAGATAGGTATGCAAATTTTAGGAAAGACTGGACAAACGGTAAGACCCCTATTTAGTGAAAACGGTCAAAACTGACCTTTACTTTATATACAAGAAAGATTAGTTATATTATGGTTTCTGCTTTTATATGAATGTTTCGGTGTTAAGTCATCTTGTTTTATCAAGATGTAAGATAATTCTTGCGAATTTGATCATTTCATAAATGCATAGTGCCGAAACAGTTTTACTGTAAATATTATAGCTACCAGTTTTAGGTCTAGTATAGAATACATTAAAAATTTAAGCATCCTCTCCTTTTGTAGAATTATATTTATGAATTGGGAATCTCAGAGCGTGTTTACAATGACAATGAGCTGTTCAGAATACTGAGTGTTTCTCACGGCGAAATGTAAGTAAAGCACTCCCTACCCAATGATACATATCACTAAAAAAATTATTGAAAATCATCAACTCAATTAATATTCTCACTCATGTCGTTATCTAAAATCAATTTCAAAAAACCCTTTATTCCCAGATGAAAACTTGCGCGGATTCTCTTTTCAAGTTTCGAATAAACACTGCCAGCACGTCATTGCAATTCTGTCAATAATTCAATCAAGCTGTGTGACGAGTTTTCATTCAGTGCTTAAGGACGTCCAGGTAAATCCTAACATCCTTCGAGGCTCATGATTTTTCATTTTCTGAGTGGATCAGTTTTGCGTGTCACAAAATAAAGTATTTCAAAAAAAAAGAAGAGAAAAAGAAGAAAAAACCATGTTCAGATGGTCGTAAGTATCGCAGGCACAGATAGTGTCATTCCCAAGAAGCACAGTACAATGAGAGTATGGAAATATAATTGCAATTAATGTTATCAAATTGCAATTATTCACCATAAAAGCGCAATATTTTTACATTAATGAATGCCAATTTTAAAAGTTTAGGTAATAAGGTGTATTCCAATATCAGAATTATAGGCGATTGGCAATGCAACAAAAAATTGCAACTTACTTCAATTTTTATTGCGCGCCCCTTCAATAAGTACGGATAGGCTACGTACACAACACTCCCATGTGATAGCAATCATTTAACCACCACTTGCAGTATATTGCAATCTGTGCTACTGGAGTAGTAGATCAGCGGAAAATAATGTAATCTCTTAGACATCAAATTTCAAAGTCTAATAATGATAGAAGGATCACCCCTCGCACAAGGGTAGACCNTTTTTAAAAATACTAAATGATGATTCTTTAAATATTTTCTAAAAAAATCATTTTGATTATAATATTATCAAAATATTGTCAGTATTGTGTAAATATTGCGACAGTACTGACAATATTTGCCCAATATTGTAAAAATATTATGTCTTATCTGGGCCGAGGATGTTCTTGTTTTGGGTGGTGAGGGGTCATAAAGTGTATCCAGGGGCACAGTCGACATCCTACCGCGGGGGGCGTGGAGATAAGTAGCGTGGCGTGTTTTACGATATATCGATTGTTCTGCCATTTATACGTGTGGAAAAGGATCGATAAACACCTTAATAATCGATTCTTATCGTAGCTTCAAGTGGGGAAATGTCAATGAATCGCAAAGGACGCCACGTCGCACAGTGGATCGAGTCAATAGGAGAGATTTGACAAAATTTGGAAACTTTAAACGCTCATAACTCCGTTTCTACGAAACTTTGAGGCTCTGAAAGTGGTTTCATTGTTTTCCTCGTGAAATTTCCTTCCATAGGAACCCCTCTACATTGAAAATGTGACGAAATAAACATCAAAATTTGCAGTTGTAGTCAAAAATTCCACGTCCGGCTTCTCTTCTTGACTCGATCCACTGCGCGTCGCGTCGTTGGTGGAGATTCCATCGGCTACAAAGGTTTCCGAGGGGATCTCTTCAGCTCAGGAGGGGAGTCCGAAGGACCTACAGAAGATTTTTGAAAAAATGAGTAGTCTCAAGAACAAATTCGAGTTATTCTAACAAAAAATGTTTGGAGTACGCTTTGAGAAATGAATTATATGCCACTTATTTATGGAGCGAAATTGTTCACATTTTCTGTCGGGAATAGCTCTTATGAGGGACATCCTGAATTTTTTGAAGGGACAATGACCATATCTCTATGTAATGATGCACGAGAACACACCCTGTGCCTGCGATCTGCGCCTATCAAACATATGTTATACTGTGTCATGCGCCTTTGGGCTGCATTTTGCAAAATGGAACGACTATTTCCGGGTCATGTTACAAAAAACATATTAGTTTCCCCATGTATAGTATAGCTGCTTATATGTATGAATGAACCAGAAATGGTATAGTTCCACCGCAAAATGTGCTCCATTTGATCCGTCTCAGGAACCGCTCCGTTTGCGCTCGGTCGTTGAGTGACTGCTTAGGAACTTCTTTGATTCTAAATATTTTTCCAATTTGTTCATCAATTAATTTTAATTAATTTATAAAACAATTGCGAATATATTGTGTTAAATTCTTGAATGGCTTGGATAGATGGACTACATTTTGCAATCAGGAACTACGATCTCTGGCTCAGTTTAGAAACAGCGTACGCATCATCAGTTTCCCTATGCACAATGCAAAGGATATCCATTTCTTTTTGCTGAGACTCCTTGAAACTTTCATTTTAGGAGGCAGTAACGACAGCAGATTCAAACCTGCAGTATTTACAAATAATTGAGGAGCCATGTTTGGCTCTTGAGCAAATTCAAGCGCCAATGGACGCGCTCCCTTTAATACCTCAGTTACTACACTCCTTCAAGATTATACGGGATCATTCGCCTCATTACAACTCTCCGTGAGTAGAATGATTGTTAATTTTTTTATCTCTGTTTCAAAGTATTTTGGCTATAGATAGATTCAACGGAGCTTTGATCGTCAATTTTTCAGGGAAGAAGTTGTCATGTGCCTTAAATTATCGAGTCTTAACTCGGGTAAATATTAATAAGTCAGCTAAATCAGTCACTGAATTTGGGGTTTTTAAAGCCCTAAAAAATCGATTTTTTACACAGCTGATGTTGCACAAATTGATTGATGTTGGGAAACGTTCGTCTGCATTCTCAGTCTCACTCATCGAAATTGGATGATATTGAATAGCATCAAAATTTAAAAAACTACAACAGAACTGAGCTTGTTTTATTGGCCTTATTACTTTGAAGATTTATTTAAAGAAAGAAATGAAGATTAAAGAAATAAAAGAAATGATCGAAAATTCATAGAAAGGCGTGCGAATTCCCCACCCGTCATCAATAACATGATCCAAATCGATTTTTGTTCAAAAATATTTGAACAGAGTGCTTCACCTGGTTTGGTTGCAGGTCAATCAAGGTAGGAGAAATCATTGCGTGCAATTACGCGAAGAATGACGTAAACTACGTACCATGTTTTAAGGAGCTGTTTGCTAAATAGTAGCGAACATTGAAATATTTGTATTTGGATTAATTTGATTACTCGAATGCTGTCTACAATAGACAAATATTGAAAGTACAAACAGCACAATCGTGTGATTGGAAAATTTGACTAGTCACGTCGTCTTCTCACATTCTGCGCGTGTATTGATTTAGGTGTGATTAGGTGAAACGGCAAATTCAAAATTCACAGTGATCTGGCAAAAACATAAATTATCTGCCTTGTAAGAGAGGAAATACAACAGTGGCGCGGCGTGAATTGCGATACATCGATTGTTATGCCATCTAAACCTACGGTAAAGAATCGATTATTAAGGTGTTCGCTGCGAACACCCTGTTAATCGACCCCTTTCCATAGGTTTAAATGGCGTAACAATCGATGTATCGCAATTCACGCCGCGCCACTGAAATACAATTCGATGCCCAGAATGCGAAACCGCGCATCTCCGTTTGCGACGTTACTGACTTCCTGTCATTCCTCATATTTTGCCAGAAAAATTATTCAACGTAATTTTTTTTTATCATTAGAAGAAAAAACACATAGGATCTGGAGTCCAGACTCTTGAAAACATTGACAAGAAAAAATACTCTTGATTCGATCAGATTTTTGCTTAAATCAAAAGGAAATCCGCTCAAATTAAGAAGCTTGGTTCTTGATTCAAGCAAAAATCCGATTGAATCAAGAGTATTTTTTCTTGTCGATGTTTTTAAAAGTCTGGACTCCAGATCCAATGTGTTTTTTTTCCGGTGATTGTTTTTTATTTATTGATTTAATACATAACATAAAACAAGTTAGTGTTGTTTTAAACAACACTAATCCGCCAGGAAAATTGGGAAACCAAATTAAGCTGTCGGATCAGAATTATAATTCATAAAACATTCGTTCAAAGTACTTAATTCATATATTTCTTACTTGTTCATAATGCTTAATAAATTAAGATTTTCATGAAACGTAGTATCCTGATATCTTTAAAATTCCCTGAACACTGCCTTGATGTTTCTTCTGCCAGCTGAATATTCTGTATAAGTTGCTGTCTGAGAAGTGAGGTTATTTCTCTTCGAAGGCGCGGAAATTTTGAAAGGCCGCAATAAAGATTTTGCTCTTCAGCCATGGAAATGAAAAATTTAAAGACAATTCTAGCATTACGGCTCCAGTATCGCAGCTGCTGCGGCTTCAGGGCCGTAAACTATAGCCGTAAAGATCCTTAACTGCCTTGTCGCCCTCCAAGGTCTCTCCCAGGAATTTACTCAGGTTGGTGGATATCAAACTGGAATTCAAATTCCCTCGCAGGAATTCTTTGTACCTATCGACGGTTATTCCGGGCGAGAGCTTATTCTCCTCCGCGGGAGAAAGTGGAGCCTTTGAAAGGACGGACGAACCGTTCTCCCCGGCCGAACAGTCCTTGAGGTCCGACTGCCCCCTCGTCTCGATCTTAGGGCGAACCCCAAGAATCCACTCATAAACGCGGAAAATGCGGAGCTTTCCTCGCGGGCCGGCTGTTCCACCGTGCCCACCGGTTCCAGCCCTGCCAGGTTCCCCATTGAGGACAGTGCGGGAGATCCCATCTTGACCATTGCCGATGAGGACAACTTGGCCGGATCTACCGCCCATCCCCCCCGCTCCACCATCTCCGCCGTCGCCTCCATCGATGCAGTTGAAACCGCTGACGGAGCAATGAACGTCGAAGCTTTTGGTGCCGATAGTGGCCCAAAACCCTGTGTCATCCCAGCAGTGACTGTCGGACACGAGGTTGTCAGATTCCGAGATCATGCCCCACTCCGGGGTGGTTCCCGCGGCGCCTGCCCCGCCGTCGCCGCCATCTTGGCCGGGCCCCCCCGTGCCCCCGATGGAGAAAATGTGGAGCAACCTCCCGTTGATAATCCTCTCTGCGATGCCGAGAAAGCTTCCGGCGGGGGAGCCGTCCGCCCCATCGGCGCCATTTTCTCCTGTCTCCGTGTAAACTGTGCGGGATGTTGGGCCATACGCTCCTAAACCAGTGGATCTAATATACCCTGTTTGATTAACAAGTTCTTTGGTCCGTCCTGCTTTTTGCTGTGAGTACGTTCTGTTCCCATCAAGGCCGTTCAGCACGATTTCCCGGGCCCCCACAACCTCCAATACAGGCGCTATGATCGAGACTTGAGCCTCTCGTCCAGTTAGCTTCAGATCGGAATCGATGAAAACTTTCTCCAAGGCAAAAATCTCTATGAATTTTGCCCTCGGGCATAAATTATCGAGGGTATTGATGAAATTGCTCAGCCGCAAGCAGCTACTCTGCATCGTTACTCGCCTCCCGGTTAGGTCGCAGAACAAATCCATTTTCGTCAGCTCCACCGCATTCCAGATTTGCTCCAGTTTCTTCAATTTAGGCTCGTTAAACTCTATGTCTCTAATTTTTGTGTACTCCGTCTGGAGGATATCTTGGTCTTTTTGTGGCAGCGATATACTTGCGAACATAAGCTCTACAATTCGTTTCCGTTCTTTTCTCGAGAAATCTGATTGGTCGTAGGGGATTTTTGCGAAAGATACGACCCTTTCGATGTTATCCGCGATGGTCAAATCACAATTTGTCAACGCATTGGACAGATACACTAAAACCTTGTAATAATTTTCAGTTGAGCTCAAATATTCCAGTAAGTTTGGGAAGTCTTGAGCATATTCTAAAGGTAGAATTTCTCGTGCGCCGAAATTTAAGAAGAATTCTAGGTATCGACTCTGTTTTTCAATATTTGTAATTGGGCCTTGCGACAAAGAGATGTTCAAAATTCTCGTGTTCCTGATGAGACGTTTGACAAAATCCTGAGGTCTCGTCACGTTTTGACACGTCCCAGAAAGTGCTTCATACGCTCGCTGGAATGTATTTTTCAAGCCTAGAACATCACTTGCTGTCTTTTCACAAGAAAGGAATAGCTCTTCCATCTCTCGTTTCAACCGTGAAACATCTGAGGCCATGTTGTCTTTAATTTTCTCAACCAATTCGTGTATGACAGTCTTAGAATTGGAAGAAATCGTGTAGCCAAAATCTTTCACCTCGTGTGCTGTAAACGCGATATTCTGGTGGATAATTCTTTCCAGGGGCTTCTTACTCTCCCGTAGTGAATGGACCGATTGAAGGGGACCAACATCGTCCGGTTTCCTGAAAATACCTAGCCTCGAATACGTATTGCCATCTTTCTGCAAGAGTACTCCGATGAATCTAATAACGGCCGCAAGCAGTTGTTCCCTTTCCGTCGACATACTCGTGCTTTGAATTTTTCGCTGAAGTTCACTCTTCGCCTTCGTCAAATACCCGGCGACGGACTGGATGATTTTCGCGTCGGACACAGTTTTCCCTCCAGATTTGTGATTCTCAACTTTGGTGACCACAAGCGCGATGCTGTCCTGGAGCTTGTCGAGATTTTTGACCATGGTGACGGCGTGTTCGGCGAGCTCCATGAAGTCATTCCTGTCCTGCCCGATCCTAACTGCAGAATAGCCCACGGTGAAAAGCAGTTTGACTCTTCCGATGTTCTCGATCGTCTTTTTCGTGAAGTAGGTGGCCGCGATGTCGTGAGCAACGCTCCTGGTATCGCTGAACCCGGGACAGTCGAAGAATATCGTTCCGGATTTCCTATCCAGCATTGCCTCGGGGTAGATCGTCCATGACATGGTGGCGGATCCGTTGCTGATCCTACCGGAGGTGTCCTGGATTACGTAGTCACCCGTTCCCTCCTCGGTCTCGTACGAGGTCATGTTAAGGTCATTCCCGGTGATGAACTGAGTCAGGGTGCTCTTCCCCGAGCCTGTGTTCCCGAGAACCAGTACCGCGTCCTTGTAATATCCGGTTACCAACTTCTCTTCCCCCTCATTAAGGAGATCCAAGACGGACTGGGACTCCGCTTCGGAGTTCTTTGAATCGGGAGAGCTGCTCTCTAAATCGGGAGAGCTGCTCTCTAAATCCGGTATTGGAATATCTGCCTCGGCATCCGCGTGAACCTGCAAGCATAAAAAAATCGATTTTATTGATTATCAACAAATATACTCCTTCAGAAAAGAAACAAAATAGGATGAGATAAACTGAAGTAACCATAGGTAGTACTTGAAATGAACCACAACACACTAAGAAATTAGGCATTGCAGTACAAGTTGTTGGTGTACTGTAGGGTGGTATGGTAGGTGGATGCGGTGAAAAGGCAAAAATGAAGGAAAACGGATCTCGAAATGAACAAATATAAATATATCGACGAATGTACAGTATGCAGCGAGCGAGGTGGCGCTAAAAACTAATAGCTGGACATGAGGCCAAGCAGGAGTGTCTCGAACCGGAGTGGTGAGCAGCGGTGGCCAGAGTCAGAGTGTAAGTCTGTATCTCCTGGTTCCTGACCGCGGGGATGAAGATGACGAAGGGCTAGATGGTGAAGAGAAAGCTAGGGGACAATCCGTGCCAAGCGGTGCCGGGCCAGCGGGAGTTCGCGAGGTCGCGGACAAGGGTGACGCCTGGCGCGGGGTTGAAAAGATGGAGAGGTGTAAAGATAAGACAGGCGCTAGGCTGACGAATAGAAAAAGATGTGGAAAAGAAGCATATGGCATGGTGCCGCACTATAGGTAGAGGAAGGAACACTACAATGTTCTCCACCAAAACCCTTAAAACAAGTTGACCGAAGCGGAAAACTTGAGAGTGATCCCATGAGTGAGAAATGAACTTTCGTAGTCTACATTGTGAAGAGTGTAAATTCATCCACTCGCGAAAAAAAAATCGAAATAAATAGGCCGACAGGCCAAATTAGGCATTGAAATCCACCTAGTCGTCGGGCAAGTAAATAGAGCTCATGGATGGGCGGAACTAGGAATTTATCGTGGGGGGGGGACGGCAGAGAGGCAGTTCATTAAGGGAGGTCTGGGGGGCACAGAAAGTACTCCACTAGGCGTCTGCCTGAATTTGCGGGACACCCTTAGTTCCAAAGGAACGTCCGGGGAATTTTCCTGGCTTTAAAAGGGGGTCCGCGGGATCTGCCGGAAAATTTTGAAAAACTGTGTCGTTTCAGGAACTATTTCGAGCTACCCTCACTAAAAAATTGATCAAAACTACAATTTCCGAGATGGAGGATAAGTCTGGCATTTACTTAGCGAATCCCTTACACTTCCTAAGAGAGGCGAAGTAGGTTTCTGGGGGAAAGAGGCCCCCTGTCCATCCAAATTCCGCCCATGATAGAGGTTCGTTTCACACACATTTCAGATTTCTATAATCTCCTTATACAAGATATATCTATGATTTTGTCCAGAAGAAGTTAGTGCACAGGAAAACACCCTAGTCGTATAGTATAACAAAATGACTTTAGTGCTCGATTTGACTTGAGTGTATCTCGAAACGTGTGAATATTAATGTAGTTTCAAACCGTGATTTTCCAATTCAAACTTTTGAATGCGTCCGTTGTATTCGTCAAAGAGGTCAAGGAAAAATATATCGTGGTTCTTAATTTCGTAGCCTGTCTGGCGGTCCATTGAGAATCGTAGACATATCAATTTCTGGCGCGCTAATTTCTGATATTTTGTTTTCACCAATGAAAAATAATGAGGCCTAGCTTGCGTGAAGTTAATTTATTAGTCGGTGGTATCACTCGACAAGATAAAAAAAAATCAGAACACAAGCATTTACAGATTTGATGCATTTGTTCTCGGCGATCGACGCGAGAATTCGATTTTTCAACTCGATAAAAAAGCATAAAAATTAAAGGATGAAATGAGCCTATTTCATAGCTCCAATCCAGCCTGGTCTCATAGTGTACCCTCATACAGACGGAATTTTAAAAGCCAGCCTGCAGGCTTCATAGATATTTGGAATTAGTAAAAGTATCAAACTATCCTATACTATAAGTATCAATCCCGTATGGGGGACTGATGTTACAGGTTTAGCAATCCTGCGGACCCCAGCTGGTAACCCCTGCCTTATGGGGTAGTGGAGATGGTCACCGGCTTCAAGGCGTATGAACCACTCATTGGAAGGGCAGACAGGGCTCTCAGCTGTAGTGGAAGCAACCTGTCTAGGAGAGGAAACTCCGAAATCAAACCCCGGTCCTCCAGGTTGGGGGTTGAGTCATCGGGCTAACTCCCCGATACTCGGAAAAAGAAATACTGTTAAAAGACCCAATAACAATTGCCTCGGTACAAATGGAAATAAACGGATTTATCGGAAAAAATTACGTAAACGGATGATGGTTTTTGGAACATGGAACGTACAAGGAATTTCTACGAAAATGACGGAAGTGGTATCGGAGATAGGGAGTCACGGATTTGATGTCACAGTATTAACAGAAACGAAGAAGAAAGGACAAGGCTCTGTAAGTGTAAAGGAATACGATTTGTTTTATAGTGGCGTGGAAAAAGATCAGCGAGCTCAGCAGGGTGTTGCAATTCTTATTCGCAAGAGCCTACGGAAGTGCATCACTACATGGGAAGCTATTAACCCCCGAATGATAAAGATGAATATGGCAGTGTTTGGCCATAAAATCACCATTTTGGGAGTGTATGGAGTCAACGATGATTCCACTGTCGCAGTGAAGGACCAATTTTTCGAAGAATTGAACGAGGAAATTGGTAAGATTGGATCCAGGAGGGAAATCAATGTGTTGGGAGATCTCAATGGTAGAATAGGACGTCAAATTAAAAGTAAGATCGTCGGCCCTTTCGGAGAGGCGGCACTAAATGATAACGGAGCCCGTATCATTGACGTATGTGAGCAAAGGGACATGAAGGTGCTCAATGGGTTCTACCAACACAAGGATATCCATAAATTTACTTGGGTTCAGTCTACTCGCGGATTGAAATCAATCATTGATTATGTGGTTGTTAGACAAGACACGGGAATGAAGATTCAGCAAGTTAGAGTGTGGAGAGGTCTTTCCTGCGGCAGTGATCATTATTTCCTCGGGGCGAAAATAGCTTTCCCAGTGAAAGGGAGCCAGGAGACCAGGCAAGCACAGGAACAGGTTCACCAACAAAAAGATCGTGTCAAGCTTGTGAACTATAATATTGACAGCTTGCAGCATCCAAGTGTAAGGGCTTTATATGGAAAGCGCTTGGATGAGAAGTTGGGCGAATCAAGGGACGGTGATACCGAACAGCAGTATCAGTTCTTGAAGGATTGCATTCACTCGGCAGCAATGGAGGCTCTTGGTGTCGCTGATGATAGGAAAGTTAGCGAAAAGCCTTACTGGTGGGACGAAGAAATTGAGAAGGAGATTCAGGAGAAACGGAAAAAATATCATCAGTTCCTTTCCTCTAAAAAAACGGAAGACAAAGAGGCGTATAAAAAAGCTCAGACGCAGGTACGAAGGCTCATAACCAAGAAAAAGAACGAATCTTGGGAGAGGAGCTGTAACAAAATAGACACGTACATAGGAGGAAGGAAAAGCACTGAGAGCTGGAAGTTGCTGAAAGGGCTGCGAAGGGACATGAAGCGGGACTTAATATCTCCGATATCCATTGATAAACTGGAGGGTTATTTTAAAAATTTACTGACAGAAAGGCGACCTGAATTTCAAGATGGAGGTGTAAGCTTGGAGTATACTAACGATAATCATAACTTGGAGATCCATATGGAGGACGTGGTAAAGGCCGTACGAGAGCTGAAGAACGATAAAGCTCCGGGTCCGGGAAATATTCCTGCTGAGTTGATCAAGTGTGGAACCTGCAAGCTGTTTCAACGGTTGAGATACCTGATGCAAGATTGCTTGGACGGTGGAAAGGTACCGACAGAATGGAAAGAGTCTTGGGTGTCACCTATATACAAGAAGAAGGGTAGAAAAGATGAGTGTGATAACTATAGAGGACTGTCGGTTGCAGGTACCCTAAGCAAAGTGTATGGAAAAATCCTGAAAGCAAAAATCGAAGAGGAGTGGAAAGAACATGAAGCGGAAGAGCAAGCAGGTTTCAGAGCCGGTCGGTCAACGATTGATCACTTATTTACCATCATCCACGTCATCGAGAAAAAGAAGGGAGTTGGCCAGGAATTACATCTAGTGTTTGTGGATCTCCAGAAAGCTTACGACAGTGTGCCATTGATGAAACTTTGGGAAGCCTTAAACAAAAGGGGTTTTAGTGGGGGACTAATTAGTGCTATTAAGGAATTTTATGGTGGGGCTTTTTCTAGGGTTAAATCGCATGGGGACTTATCGTTGGGGTTTTTAATTACTAAAGGACTGAAACAAGGGTGTTGTTTGTCGCCAACCTTATTTAAAGTGTACCTGGAAGAAGTTTTAAAGGAATGGAAAAGATGCTGTTCAGGAATGGGCGTCCCGCTACGTGAAGATGGCACCCTTTATACTCTGTGCTTTGCTGATGATCAGGTAGTTATAGCTCAGGACGAAGAAGATGCGAATTACATGACGCGGAAGCTAGTGGAAGTATACCGAAAGTGGGGAATGGAAGTAAATGTGGTTAAGACGGAGAAGTTGGTTATCGGTGGTGATCAGCAAAGCATTGAACTGGAGGATGGTCGGAAAATTCAGGACTGTGAAGAGTATAAATATCTAGGTGTTTGGTTAACTAAGGACGGAAATTTGGATCGGGCTATTAAAGATCGGAATGTGCAAGGCAGGAAAGCTATCGCGATGCTAAATGGGGTTCTCTGGGACCAGAGTATCTCCAAGGAGACCAAAAGGAAAATTTACAACGTCATCGTGAAGAGTATCGTAACTTACGGGAGTGAGGTCTGGCAACTCAAGAAAAGAACTGAAGACATGCTTAGGGCAACTGAGATGGACTTTTGGCGGAGGTCTGCTGGCATCTCAAGAAGAGAGCGTATCCGCAATGTAAAAGTACGCGAGATCATGGGTGTAGAGAAGGACATCGTGCACGATATCAGGTCCAAGCAGTTGGTCTGGTATGGACATGTGCGAAGGATGGCAGACGACCGGTTGCCCAAGCAGGTCTTCGATTGGGTTCCTCCCGGAAGGCGACGGCGTGGACGTCCTGTGAAAGGTTGGCGACAAGGGGTGGAGGAGGAGATCAGAAGGTGCCAATTGCCTGATGATCTCTGGGAGGATAGGGGGCAATGGCGATTGGGCGTCGCAGAGCGCGAGGCGGCGCTATAAAAGCGACTTTATGTATGTATCAAACTAAAATTGCTATTATCAAAAAAATTTTCACTGAAAAAGAAATATTGCCAAAAAATTATAGGTACACATAGTGTTTAAAAAAAAAAAAAAATCCGAATTTAATTGTTTCAATGGACGTTTTTAAACAAACGATATACGCACATAAAACCCTTTGTTTCAATACAGTGATTTTCATACAAATATTGAAACAAATTAGTTGTTGCAATAGACGCTATTAGTGGCTTGTCACAAAAAAGCGATATATATCGATTTATTCACATTTGTAGCATTGAAAGAGGTTACGAAAATGTTATTGTTTAGATTCAATTCGATATATAATGGAGAATACCTATGATGACGTCGCCACTGATAGCGTCTATCGCCCTGCGATAACAATAACTGTCATCGGAACCATGAGCTTCTTCGAAAACTTGCACGGTGTTTAATTGTTTTTGTCGATGATAATAATAATAATAAAAAAACAGAAATAACGAAAAAATCGCCTACAAATTATCTTTGATTTGCGCTTTTGACTCTCCGCCCGTTTTTCACTACCATTAAAGGAGGAAATGTATATTTTAATTCCAACAATTCAGAATCTTGAACCGCGTAAAAATTAATTTGGGGTTAGTAAAAAGTCTCGTAGAACGCACGAAAGAGTCGCGTCAAAATTTGTTGTGATATTATTTGAGATCGATTCGGAAAATTTCCGGAAACTCTCCAGAAATACCGTGTGTGGTCTCTTAAAAAACGCTACAATTAACTAAAACATTAGAAGTTGCGTGTAACGTTGCGATCGGAGATAAAGGCGCTTTTTTCGCGTACAGGCGTAACGAGGTAACTATTCGACCACGAGTAAGGCACATTGCCGCCGGTCGGATTGAAGGCGCGTCACACTGCGCAGATGAGTTAACCCCGTTTGCTTCCTTGGCTCCTGCGACATTGAAGTAAAAGCAGGACCACGCATCATTAGTCTCAACTCCTTGCAGTCCCATTTTCACAATAATTAAAGAGAAAAGAATAAAATTCACAGACATATATAAAATTGCATGCTTTTTTGAAATGACGTATTTCATCCTCAGTTTTCATTTTCGTATTTATTTCTGACGAGAAGGACTTAAGTGGACTCCAATTCATTTCGGAAATGGCTAAGGTGACACACTTTTTTTTGACACAATGTAAGCTTCCTCCATCACCCTTTTCGTACTCATTTCGTTTCAAAGAACGTAAGTTGTCTAAAACATAAATCGTCTCCATAGTCACGAATCAGTTCAATAAAGTGTCGAGTGCTCAATATTGACTCATTAGAACTAGCGCTTGTGAAAACTAGCTGGCGACTCAATGAGTCACAATCTAACCACAAGGCTTTGGAAGTAAATGCTTTTGAGTGAAGGTACAATGTTTGATAAGTTCTCTGAGAGAAAGGGATATTCTTTCGCTATGAATCACACGTATGAATGAAATAAGAAAGCATAAGATTTCATGACTACTTGGTACTCATTGTTGAGACGCGGCTTTTTGAATGTGGCTTGGCCATCAACTACTCTCTGGAGAATAAACCATAAACTTCCGAAAAATGTCACTGAGAATTCATGATGGAATACAGGTACATGCTAATGATGAAAATAATTAAGAGAAAGCAAAGGTTCAATCAAGGTTCAGTTTTAAGAATTGAGAAAATCACTTTCCATTCAATCGTATGAAGGCATTTCAACATCAGTAGGTAGGTAAGTTTCAGCTGTCTCCTCAAAGACGGAACTCCACGACTCAACAAAAAGTCGTCAAAAAGTAAAAAGAGAATTGATCTGCCAAATGAAACAACGGTTTTTGATGAGACCGAAAATGAGCTAAAGCCGGGCACTGGTCGTTTCTCAAGGTCAGTAGCGTCCCATGTTACAGCATAGGGAAACGGCGGAATAAATGTAAAGTCGGGATGTTGGAATTATCGGCCTGCAACGTGTGTTAAATTCAGCATGAAACTTTTATCTTACGACAGAGGAAAAAAGCTCACACAAGCACAATTCTCCCTCAAAGAGATACGCTGTATGGTGCAACACTAGTAACAAACATTCAGGAAGGCAACTGCAGACGCGTGTCTCTTTGAGGGAAAATTGTGTTTGTGTGTGAGCTTTTTCCCTCTGTAGTGAGATATCAGCTTCATGCTGAATGTAACGCACGTTGGCTAAAAATTCAAACATACCGTCTTACGATCCGTGCGTTCACTCCCAATCAGTTTGTGAAAGTAAAGTCATAGGGAACTCCGTTCTCATGACAATATAATATACCAGAACTAGCTTTTATGAGCTTGCTGCGTGAGCTATATTACATTCAAGGAAGAGGTTTTTAGCCTCGACGCACATCAGTGAAGTGGCACGTGCTTTGCAACATATAGATTTATCTGCCATTCAAACATATAGAAAAATTTCGATATACAGGAAACGAACACCTTAGTAATCGATTCTTTACTATAGCCTCAATTATTAAGGAAATATTGATAATAATCGATCATTCATGCCTTGCCTCTGATGCACAAAGATCTATATCTAAAATTCAACAATTTTCGATGTGCACAAGAGTTTTCATCTTCTTCAGAAACTCGTTGGAGAAAATTCGAATAATACATCGGATCGTGCAACGAAACTTAGTGTAAAGTTAGTAAGAGCAAGCGATTCGTCCTCATTCGATTGAATGGACAAAAAACACCTCCTTCGCGTTAAAATAGTTGCATCCTTCAAGACCGATCTGCATAGGGACTTCACATTCCTGCAATATGTTCGATCCTAATCGAATCTGAACACTCTGCATGCAAGGCTGGGCAGCCCGGTTACCTTAACAGATCATTGCTTTAAAAAGGAGACTATTGCATTGCATACTTTCAAAAATTGAGGAAGTTCGTCATTGAAAACAAGATGTGAATTACAAAGATTATGTGAGAATATAGGTCAAGCTGTGCCGCAGATCATCACCATCTCTAATCTGTAAGTAACAATCCAAGGAGGGACCGCCGAACAAGACAAAAAAACGAAAGTACATGTAAAATCCGAAACGGTATGTTGAAGGTTTATATGTATGTATAGTTTGAGGTGAATCTCAAATTTCAAAAAATTAGTGTGAAGCTGTAATGGTGCTAACTGACGAGAACAAGGAATTGAATTGTTATGCGCATATAGGCACATCTGAGGAGACGTAATAAAACATGCACAAATTTTGCAAAAATCTGGTTTACGAGGAAAAAACGTATGAATGCACCAGTGGTGAGGCGTGAATGATCGAATATCGATATTTGCCCATTTGAAACTATGGTTAAGAATCGATTGAAAAGGTGTTCGTTGCGAACACCCTGTTTATCGATCCTTTTCCATAGATTTTAATAGAAGATCAATCGATATATGGCAAAGTACACTACGCCACTGGTATGAACGCATTGGAATCCATCAAGATGAAATCCAATACATCATTAATCTAATTCTAATTTGAATTGAATGATTTCTCCGTTGACATCGATGCCCCCCCTCCCCCGTAGGTAAAAGAAAATAAAAAAAAAAGACCACTCTTAAAGCTTCGGGTTCATAGTCAATTTTCTTTGACCGCATTTTTGCGTTTTTCTCTCCTTTTCTCAGTGAGGGAAATTTTCGTGGAGGGGTGTTGCATTTTCTTTCAGTTGTATATGTAGTTATACAAATGATAAAAGTGGAACTCTTCTTGTTCCAGATATGACATATTTTGTACCTTGTCACTACTCCGACGATAAACGGACTGCATTTTGCAATTAAGAACTACAATCTTTGCCTCACTTTAAGAACAACGTATGAGCTACAACTTATTTTCCTCTGCACAAATGCGTTTCTTCAGATGAGCCAGGATATCTGTAGTTTCATATTTCAACATGTAGTCCAAATAGGAATGAGCCCCATTGTCCATAATAGCCATCGTTGCCAGACGATACTGGAAAACCAGCACTTTTCCCCATCTGAACCCATGCATAATACCACAGTTTAATGCATTACCTGGCAAATTTGATAATAGCCCCCCCTCTCCTACCCAGGGCTCACACAGTGTTCACACAGATACGCCCCTAGGGTAGAGGAGTTGCAAAAATTTTTTCTCTTTTTAGACCGTCTCTTATAATGAGTATTTGAGTCTGATTCGCGCACTGAATGTATATTTCATTATGTTTAGTACGATGAAAGAATGTAGGTTTCTGAAACTCACCGTATGCATTGTGCAGAAAAGCGTCAAGAAAGTTGTAATTACTAAGAGCGTCCCCATCTTGATTAAATGCCGTTGACAAAACTTGCACACTCTAAAATTAGTCACCTAGTGCTGCTTTTGCGAGTAAAACCGGGGATTTAAAATGTTGCCACTGGAGACAAGTCACATACTTGTAAAGTGGAGAGCGCGGCAAATGTTGCGAGGTCTGATCGTTAAATTACTATGGAATTAAAATTTAACCTAAACTCATGTTCGGTTTTGGGATCATCACGCAAAGTGAACCAAAACGATATGGGCGAGATTGAGTGTGAGTCCCTCGCTGCGGAGAAACTTGATAAAGTAGGCTAAAGTTCAAATGATTAAAAGTCTACACGGATCAAGCACCTCTTTCCCCCACCCTCATGCTGCTATTCAGGGAATACGCAAGTTTTCTGTTATCACGAGTGAATCATTTATTTCCCCTTTCCCCGACCTTCGTAGGGACCATGAATTTACAGTTTTGCAAAAGTCGCTCTAAGCCGGAAAACTGCCTTATAATGATGATTCAGAATTTCATTGCATTAGATTAGCTGTTCTTACTGAGGATAATTTGAATTTTGATGATTAAGTCTGGTTGCGGTTGGTTCATCCGCAAAAAATCATGCGAGGGTATCTTTGGGCCAATTTTAATTTTTTGAGCAATTTATCAAGTTTAATCAATTTTCAACATTCTAGAGATCCCCATGATGCTTTTTGATAGACCTGACCTTTTGGTGGAGTGATTGAAAACTTGAATTTTCGCAACTAAACACTGAATCCGTTAAATAAAATAAATGAATAAATAGAAAAAATGAAAATTATACCAGATGGTACATCCTGGATGCTGCTCAGTTTTAAAAATTTTGATCAGGCCAAAATGATTCGAAAATTTATTCATTTGCTACTCCCGTATCACGGACCGTTCGCTCTCTACTTCTCTTCTTGTAAAACTTAATACATAATAGCAAAAGGTGCGAATTAAGAGGGAATTAATTCTCAAAATTTTCCCCCGACCCTCTTATCAGAAGAGGCCCCCCAATCAACTTTTTGAACGGTCCCTCCTCCGGAAAATTCGGAGCCAGGAGTCTTCCCGTGAATGAATCCTACATTCGCACACATTTTGAGCGCCCTGAGCACCAGACAATTTTCCTGAAGTTTTTATGACCATTTTCGGACTTCTATATCACATGGGAATCGAAAAAAATTGGTTTGGTCCGAAGGACATACGTGCGGTGTTATCGATATTTTCCCATTGGAAGCTGGGGTAAAAAGTCGATAATGAAGGTGTTCGTTGCAAACTCTCTGTTTAGCGATCCTGTTCCATGGCTTTAAATGACAGATCAATCGATGCATCGCAAAGCTCGCCACGCCACCGGTAGGAAGAATGGGTGAGGGGGAGGAAGGCCAGAAATTTACGTTGATAATAAGCGTTGAAACGTCAATAGATTGGGTTGTAGATATAATTATAATTAGAGAATCTGCGAGCTAAAAATGTCAAAATTAGATCGTACGGGATCCGCGAAACTTACACATAAACTTATTGTTTGTAATAATTCTTCGATTTCAGCGAGAAGATGAGTCAGCTGTGCCGAGCACTGAGCAATCAGGTCATCATCTCATGTAGGAATTTAATAGACCTGAGCATTCTTTTTGAAGGAAGGACACGATCTAGTATGAAAATCTTCCAAGAATGCATCCGATGCTGTTCCACATACAAATCCATGTACAATAAGGTAATCTTTGCAACTACATTCACCGCTTAAAATTCAACAGGGAACGTCTATCACGTCGCAGGTATGGTTTATAATCAACATGAACTCGGAATTCAAGTGGTGGACATCGCAAGGAGATTTTTCGTCTTTAGAAATACCGAATTATCAATGATATTCCACATCTTTTAGGGAAAGCAATTTAGGGTGACCCACAAAAAATGAATTTCGGAAATTTATAACCGTAACCCCCTAGATCGGTTACAACATGTTCCAAAACACGGAAAATGAAATTTCGGGTCAATCGTACAAAATTAACCCGACGCGCAGTTGCCATTTATCCCCGCAAAAATAGCGAATTTTTACCGTTTTTCAGTAATTTTTCGCTCCTAAAAAATAAAGTCGGAGGGGTCTGAGGGGAAAATTAGTTCATAGACTACACCCTAGTGAAGTTTTGGTCCCCCTCCATGCTTTTGACCAGACGCGCGGTTGCCATTTTCACGCATGAAAATAGCGAATTTTTTACTGTTTTTGATGATTTTTCCCTCTCGATAAATTAACTTTACAGATGCCTAAATTGTAATCAGAGTGTGAAATTAGTAGCTTAGATGCTCCTAATGCTCCCCTTCTGATAATTTTGATACGCTGCGACGTTGCCATTTTTCTGAGCAAAATCGTGAATTTCGACTTATTTCAATATCATCTCTCTAGACCTAAAAAAAAACTCAGGAGCCATCGAAAAAATGCGCTAAAACACGGTGATTATATCGTGAGTATCTTTTTTGAAAATTTGGACCCTGTAAAATGTTTTAGTCGGCGTGAAGTTACCACTTTGCAAACAGTGGTTGACGGTAATAGTCAATTTTCATACGATAATGCGCCTTCAATAACATTGGATACCGTGCAATACTTTCGTGGTGGAATAGTTGCATTGGCGCCTACAAACCTAACAGGGATATTGCATGCATTGCGCAATGCATCGTGATCGTCTGCCATTGATGTGAATGAACAAAAAGCCGTTTCACTTAAAGGACAAAAATGTTAATTCTTCACAAATTTTCTTGTATTGTTAGTTTACGTAGACGGTCATATTTGTTTTCGGCTAAGACTGCAAAGTTGTTGAAATTGAAGGGCGCCGAGGACAAGGCGTATAAGTGCAGTTTTTGCTATTTCGAGAAATACGTGTTTGAAGTTTCGGAACTTCGTGGATCCTCATGGCGGCAAGAAAGTTGAAATTGACTTTTCGATGCTTAAAAATTGGAATTTGGGGGCGAATTTTTCACAGAACTTGCATTCAGACTAGTTTCACCTTAAATCATTAATATCTCAATTTTTCAAGAACAGCACCTATCCACTCCTCCTCCGAGCCCCTCAATGCAAATCTCGCGCCGCGGCTTTAGTGACAGAAAAGAAGCTCCGTTTAGAGTGGTCGGGCGGATCATATGCCTTACGTTTCTTTTACCTTGACTTACAACTACTTCCGTTCACTAAACGATGACGCCTCTCGAGCTTTTTTTGTTCGTAAAATCTGATAACGTTCGTTCTTAGGCTCCTTAGCTGCCAGGTGGGCGGCCCCCGGCTTTGGCTCCTTAGTTCCCAGGGGGGCGACCCCCGGCTTAGGCTCTTTAGGGGCCAGGGGGACCCCGTAAAATGTTTTAGTTGGCGTGAAGTTACCACTTGGCAAACAGTGGTTGACGGTAATAGTCAATTTTCATACGTTAATGCGCCTTCAATTACATTTGATACCGTGCAATACTTTCGTGGTTTAATAGTTGCATTGGCCCCTACAAACCTAACAGGCATACTTCACTCATTGCGCAATGCATGCAGTATCCCTGTTAGGTTTGTAGGCGCCAATGCAACTATTCCACCACGAAAGTATTGTACGGTATCAAATGTAATTGTAGGCGCACTAAAGTATGAAAATTGACTATTACGGGCGTCAACCACTGTTTGCAAAGTGGTAACTTCACGCCGACTAAAACATTTTACAGGGTCCAAATTTTCAAAAAAGATACTCATGATATAATCACCGTGTTTTAGCGCACTTTTTCAATGGCTCCTGAGTTTTTTTTTAGGTCTAGATAGATGATATTGAAATAAGTCGAAATTCACGATTTTGCTCAGAAAAATGGCAACGTCGCAGCGTGTCAAAATTATGAGAAGGGGAGCATTAGGAGCATCTAAGCTACTAATTTCACACTCTGATTACAATTTAGGCATCTGTAAAGTTAATTTATCGAGAGGAATAAATCATCAAAAACAGTAAAAAATTCGCTATTTTCATGCGTGAAAATGGCAACCGCGCGTCGGGTGAAAAGCATGGAGGGGGACCAAAACTTCACTAGGGTGTAGTCTATGAACTAATTTTGCCCTCTGTTTAATTTGCAGACCCCTCCGACTTTATTTTTTGGGAGCGAAAAATTACTGAAAAACAGTAAAAATTCGCTATTTTTTGCGGGGATAAATGGCAACTGCGCGTCGAGTTAATTTTGTCCGATTGACCCCAAATTTCATTTTCCGTGTTTTTGAACATGCTGTAACCGATTTAAGGGGTCACAGCTATAAATTTCCGAAATTCATTTTTTGTGGGCCACCCTAGAAAGCATGCATATTAAATACCTATCCACGGTGAAACTACCAGACCATGTACCTCGGTTCGCGAGGTTGCAGGCTTGTCTTAGTTTATTTTTTAAATGGAAAACTACTCAACTTAAACTCCTGAAAGTGTCCGTGACTTTTCTTTCTGCGCAAAATTTGTAAGAAAGTTAAGGAATATCCTTGATTTGTTCTAATTCAAGGAAGCATAAAAGGGAGCGGAGATTCTTAAAAATCGCAAATGAGATTATCAAAGAAAAATGTTTCACGTGGATGTCAGCGGTTAGTCTGCCATCCAAAGTATAAGATAAAGCGTACTAATTGCAATAATTACGTACGAGGATTTGACATCCCCCCTTGGCAACTTCTTCTTTGGTGAATTCTGGCTCAAGACTGTCAAATTAATTAAGCAGTTGGATCAGTTCCTCAAATTAGATCTTACAAAAGAAGCTGCTGCAAGCAACTAGGTATTGCTGATACCATACAGCTTACAGCGTGTAACTAGGCGCTTAAAAGTCAAGTAATAAACGGTTCTCAAACAATGTCCGCAGAGTTATTAATATACTACTTCCATTTCACTCACATCGTTTAATCAAACCGAGGGCCAACTAGTCAACTCACAATACGCTACGATGTAAAAACCGTAATCAATGTTTTGTTCCTGTAACAAAAACCGAGTGAACTGAACATGCCTAAACGCGACAAGATATTACTGCTTCTATCCTGCTAATACACCGCTCAAGCTGACCTGTTATTTCTGATCACAGGTGAAACTTACCAACGACGCAACAGGAGACTCGCAATGGAACTCAGATTTGAAAATAATCCTCAACAGTGTCGACACCTTCATGGAAAGATGCCAAGAAATGATTGAGCTCTGTGAAACTATGCTGATTTATGGCAGGTATTTGAGTTCATGTCGTGAGGTAAAGTAGGAAAACGAAAAAGTGCACAGTCTAGCGATGAGAATCTTGAAATGTAACAATTTTTTATGACCAAGAGTAGTTAATACTGCGTAGGACTTTAACAGATAGGCAAAAATATTTGGGCTATATTTCCTAGTTGGGTACTATAATTTCTGGTCCAGTTTAGAAATAACGCATGTACTATTAGTTTCCCTATACGCACACAAGTGGTTTTACAGATGAGCCAGAATTTGTAGTTCCTAATTGCAAAATTAATTATATTGGTTCATCTTTAAGTCTCAAGCACAAGTTGTGAAAACAAAATTAATCCTTCTCTGACTATGATACTCGGAGCTCATGGCTCCAAAACCCCCTCTGAGGGGAATGAACCGATGGTCCCATGCCTACACGCAGTTTTTAGGGGCAAAAGAAACACATGAGTGCAATGGTTCAGAAGCAACAAGACACGACAGATGTGACGTATCAGACGTCCTCCGGTTCCTAATGCTTTCTCATCGAACATATCGATGACCAAAGTTCGAAACCACATATCTTAATCGAGGTGTCTCAAAATTTCTGCTCCTATTGATTAATTCGAAGAGAAAGAAGCCAACTTTTTAGCTTGAGATTCACACAGAATATTCTGCCGACATAGCATAATATCTATAGATAATTATCTAAGAAGTTTTCAAAAAATTACGTGAACTGAACTTCCAAAGCAGAAATAAAATGTGATACGAAGTCTGCAACGTCGCAAACGGAGATAAGTGGTTTTACGCTTTGGTCATCGATATGTTGGCATTTCTAAGACCCTTTGTTATATATACAAGGGTATAAACACGATTAATCTTTTCTCTCCTATATCTTATCAATCATTNNGGGGGGGGGGGGGGGGGGGGGGGTAGGGATCATAAATGAGTGCTCAAAGTTTATTTATTCCCGCAGACTTGACGAGACGCAAGATGTGCCGAAACCCACATTTGGATTCACCCGCGGGGCGGAGTTTGAGAAAGTGTGCGATAAAATCGAGGATTTATTTCACGAGAGTTTTTCAAAAGTCGAGCAGGTGCAAGACTGTATTTTAGACGTGCAATCCAGTGACTGGTATCGGGAAATGAACAGGTATGGCCAGTATCAGTTACGGGCGTTGTAAAATTTACTGACGGATGAAGAGTAAAACATGGTCCCCTTTAAAAGTAACCCGAGTAGCAGTGATCACGGCAATTTGCGATTTGATCGGGAAATGTATCGCGCAGGGCCGGATGTAAGGGGTGGCCACATGGGCCGTGGCCCATGGCGGCAATTTTATGGGGCGGAAAATTTTGCAATTTGTTAAATGTAAGTATTAAAAAAAAATTGGATTCAGAAAAAAAATTACATGCAAGAAAAGGCGACAAAATCTCTCATTTCCAGAGAGTATAGTAAATTCTAATTTTGTCGTCTTTCGGTGATGCAAGAGACAGAACCTTTAATTAGTCGAGTCTGGAACAACGCGGCGCAGAGAGCAATGATGGCGAGGATTTAATATGAAAAGGAGAAGCCCTCGGCACAGCGGTCAGCATTTAACACACATCAGCGCCTACAAAACTGCATGAATACTTCACGCATTGCGTCAAACACAATGCGGTGAGCAGCGGTCGACGTGAAACGCATAGCGCCTACAAGACTGCATGAATACTTCACGCATTGCGTCAAATATAGTGCGGTCAGTTGCGGTCGACGTGAGACACATAGCGCCTACAAGACTGCATGAATACTTCACGCATTGCGTCAAACACAGTGCAGTCAGCGCGGCGCGGCGCTGTGGCAGAAGTTAAAATCATTAAACCACATTTATGTTGGTTCTTTCATAATTTTTTTGTTCATTTCTTAGAAATGGAAGGCCTTGTCCACACAGAGATAGGTTCACGGAACTTAACTTTCGCGCAAAGTTCCGTGAAATTTTCCTAGTTGTGTTGACACTAGGGTGCACCTAGTGTGCTCTCGCAAAAAAATGTTTCCAACACGAGTAAACGCGTCTCATGCACTCCTTCCCCTCCGGCACTTCACTTGATAGATTTTGTTGATGTTTCAAAACGAATGAGAAAGGGGTGGTAATTTACCGGCGGCCCATGGGCGGCAAGTAGATAAATCCGACCCTGGTATCGCGAATTAATAGCTGTTGATTTATTTCAATTTTATCGGATAAAATATTATGATACATTGAGATTTCATCGCATTAATTTGCAGTAACATCGCGATTTTATTGACGATGATTTATCAACATTATGGAACAAAAAATCGTGATAAATTCAGATGCAATTTCGACTTTAGAAAAAAAATTACGATAAGATCAAGGATAATCGCTCAGTTGATGTCTAGCGCTTTTATTGTCCAAAAATCGTGAAAAAATCGCAACTTAATTTCAAATCATCGCGATTATTCTGCTAAAAAATTCTTCTTGGATGAACCTGAGTTCTGAGGTGCCCCCCCCCCCAAGAGAGAGAGAGAGAGAGAGGGCTGTAACTCACCCTTCTACAGAATTTTAATGGACGAAGATAACAATTTTACCCACGTCATCTTTCTCAGCGTTTCAGTAAATTTAGAAATGCGAGAAACACTGACCCGAATCCGTAAAAATATGACATTTTCATGACTTTAAAAACTTTAATTGCGATTTATTTGCAATTTCTCGGCATACTCCATTGAGCACAGACCGCAAGCGATTCTTTGGTCCATTAACTAGGATGTAGGTACAGAGAAAGTAGAGCAGCTTTAGGTACTTACGTTTGACACTTTTATTGATCGAAACATACCTATACCCGCTATAAATAAACAGACACACAAACGACTAATTTTAGAGTAATGGAATCAATGTATTCGCTCAATTATAAGTAAATGTACAGAAATATTGATGGTGAAACTACAGAAATGCGTATCTTGGTTTGTGATGTAACAGACTTCTTGTCATACTTTAATTTTTACACGGAAAACTACTGAACGTCATTTTATAAAAACTTTGAAACTTTAAACGTTAAATGAGAATATTGAAATAAAATTGCGATTTATTGCAATAAAATTGAACATTTTTTACCATGAAATTGCAATATTTTCACATCTCTTGATCAGTATATGCCAATTTTAAACAACCAACAAAGTGTGTCAGAGAGATGGGCAATATGTACCGCAATGAAAAATTGCAACTTACTTCAAGTTTATTGCAATAAATTGCAAGAAACCGTTTGCCTTCAATCAGTAGATAGGCAACACACATGACACTCCGATGCTGTAGCAAACATTTTCTAGTGTAATTGAAATTGATTGCAATCGATGCTTCGTGGGCCTCCCATCATAGTAGAATTCAGAAATGAATCTGTCAAGTTGACAGCGTGTTAGAGGTTAAAATAATCCGGCTCATCTAGTAGTGCCTACAAAAGCGCACAGAGTTAGTAAGGTGCTAAAGAATCATCAACGCACCAGCGGTGGCCCGGGAAGGACTGTAATTTTCATTTCAAAAGAATTTTATATATTTTTCTTTTTCATATGTACTTTTTTCGTCAGATTCCGTAAGGATATGAAAAAAATTGATACTATCGCAGAAAACCTAATTCTGGAAAGTTTCAATATGGTGAAAAATGTCGAAGAAGGGCTACTCACACTGCAAAGCCTTTACGAATACTCAAAGAGGCCCTCGTTGTTTAATGTCATTGAAAAGAAAACGGCGATGGTGAGTTTATATTAAAACACTAAGTTCTTAACGAGCAAAACATAAATATACGATGTCTATTTTGAAACCCTGCTGACCATTTTCATGATACCTACTTACTAGTACTGCTCGCTTACTGTTCTCACCACTGCGTGTGACACCAATATATAATATTATGGGGATATGTCCCCTAGCCGCCACGCAGCCCAACCGCTGGAAGGGGCTTCGCGGTCTCCTAGGCCCGCTGCGCGGGCCTTCAGTGCTTTAATCTAAAAAGGTACAGCGGAATTATCCTGGGACTATCTCCAATCAGTGCCTACAAAAATCATGAAAAGTAGCCCAGTAGATCTTCCGAGCGAACTGTGACAAGAAAATGAACATTTACATTGTTTAAATTGGAGAATTCACAACTTCCTCACCTAGGATTGATCGAAGTAATAGGTGAATTGAGTAAATGGGAGAATTTGCAGCTTCAATACGTTGTGTACAAAACGCTGGGCCATTTTTCCAAAATTTGATTAGAGTGGGCTCATTTAGAGACAATTTAGCTGTCGATAACCGAAAAATCATGAAAACCGGCTCGATAAAACGCTAGAACTAAGCGCTACCGAGGCTGAAGAGCTTTATAAACCAATAGATAATATTTTATCGATTCAGGGTCTTACTTTTATCGACTAATAATCTGATTTGGGTTTCAAATCTTACAGGTTTATAAGATGTTCTGGGACGAGCTACAAGAGGCAAAACTAAGTTTACTATCAGAAAAAAACTCTTACGCGAGGTTAATGCCAAAGTACGCAGGGAGGGCCTGGACATCTCTAGTCAAGAAAACACAGTTGAAGTCACTGTATGATGTTAGTGTTATTTTCTTATCTTGTTCCCTTTTACAATTTTCTCGCATGCCAACATTTTTTTTTTCTTCAGGTGTATATCGAATCAAAAGAAGTGTAGTGTTCCTATCAAACAATATAAAGGCGAATAATTACCCACAAATCTAGCATGCGTTGACCGAGGGATATAATTATATTCGAGCACTATTCCTCTATTCGCAGTCTTTCTTGATGTAATCAATTTTTACATGGTTTCTTTTAGCATACACAGAGTGTCCCAGGATTAAGTACGAATATAAAGGAGTCGATTCTTTGGGTCAAAAAAAGACGTTTTTGAGGTATATTTTTTTTTTCCAAAAACGCTTTCCCTGAGGATCAGGGTCCCCCAAAGTTAGAGAAAAAAATCGTCTTTCTAACAATTCTGCATAGCATGAAGGGAGTGAGGATGAAACAGCGTCAGTATGTTACATAAAATATAATATGAACATATTAAAAAAGGTATTTCTAATCCTGAAAATCATAGAGTAACATGATAATATCTAAAAAAACTGTCAGAATCAATGAGTTTAAATACGTGTCAATTTGACCCAATTTTTCGTAAAAAAAAGTTTTGAACGCATCTAAGGGTAAGTCGGGCACTAGTTTTCCCGAAATTACAAAAATGTAACCGATCATGTTTATACTCTGGACTTTTTCAACAACGAAAACTAAAACATGTAGATCTGCAGGCTGATAACTAAAATTGATAGACAAAGCTGTAGGCAAAGAAGACAATGGAAAAATGGAGTGAGCCTATTGGTTGAAACGGGTAGTTGTTACAGACTGAGGGAGAAAATGATGAACTAAATGTAGGGTCTCTTGTCGGTTGCGGTTAGTTGAGCACTTACCTCAATTCTCCGTTGTTTTACTCGCTTCAACTAATAGGAACGTCTCCTCTATCTTTTTTCGTCGTTTCCCTCACGAAAGAACGTTACGCCATTTCAATGTTGCCAAATTTCCCCTCATAAAATACACGCTCACTAGGAAAATCTTTGATATTCTTAACTGAAAATTTCAATGATTTTCCTCAGATTCTATGCAAAAATCAGAAAAAAATTGGATAAAATTGCATTTGTAAATTATTGTAAAATTAATTAGTTGTTTGAGCGAACCTAGGAAACTTGGACTGGAGTCCTGTTCTTCCTTCCGGGAGACGACGTTATGTCTATCTCATTGTCTATAAATTTCGATAGCCCACTAATTGTCACCGCTAATGAAAGCTATTGATTTTTCTTCGCAGTTGTTTCAAGAAAAATTGTGGCTTCCGAAGGTGACGATCGCGGTAGAGATCGAATCACTATATCAGGACGTTATTCAAACCTTCGACGAGGCGATCCTTAGCAATTACAAGAGGTGGTTGGAAGTTGCCGAGTCAAAAATAGGAGTTCGGCTAAAACGTAGCCTAATCTGCAGGAGCCTCCAAAAACCGGGACTCCTCGAGGTCAACATCGACCGGAAACTCCTCTACGTCTTCAGCGAGGCGAAACTGTGGGTGGACATGGGCTTCCCCATTCCCAACGAAATGAGCCAACTTGTAGCCCGCAGAAACGAACTCACGTTGCTTTACAGGTAGTTTTTTCAAAAAGGTAACGCATAGCAATAAAGCACAGAGAAAATGATTCAACTGATTTAATCATGATCTTGGCTTGATTTAATTTTAATTGCAAGTCCTTTCCTCATTTAGTTCCGTTAGGGACTCCCTTGGTTTTAATTTCTTTTATAGTATTGATTGAAACTATTAGAAAACCAATTCGCTCGAATATACGAAGACAATAATAATAAATTAAAACAAGGCTGAAACGTTAAAAACACCGAAAGGCAGGACGTTTCGAACCGCGACCGGCTCATTTTCAGCTGCAAAAAACACGAAAAAATCATTAAAAAATTGATTGGCAACTGACAGATTGACAGCGACATTTTTTGCGTCAGAGGGTTGGCTGCTCTTTCGGGCTCTTAGAGCTCCACATTTCTACATTTCCGCATTCTCCTTAAATAAAGGCACTCTAGGGACTCTGATAATCTTACTAGGATAAAAGGCGCAATTAGAAGTGGATTGCATTTTGCAAAAAGGAACCACTAGCACTGCAATGGTGCTAAGATTGTGCAACTTCATCCTTTGCAATAAAATTGCGGAAATCGTGAAAAACTATGAAATTTAGATGGTGATTTTTGTCTTAAATTCACAGTTTTTAGCGAGTAAAATAGAAACTATCAATGGATGATCGGGTTTTTCCTCCAAGACAAAAGAAGTTGCAAAATCTTGGCAACATTGCAATGCTAGTGGTATTCCTTTTTGAAAAATGCAATCCAAGTATTCTGTCCATCTAAAGTGTATACTGGTTTACTTTTTGCAGGAACGTGGAGACTTGTGTTCAAAACTACAATCGCGTGATGGCGAGTCTATCCGATTCGGAGCGGGTCCTCTTCCGGGATCTGATCCGCGGCCAAGACAGGGAGCTGAGCGTCTGTTGGAGGATGTCGTGGGCGAGCGAGGCGGCCAGCGCCCGGGTCCTCGTCTCCACGGAGCAGCTCCAGGAGCTCCAATCCTTCATCGACGACTACAAGACGCACAACGTGAGAATCGTCCGCCTTTGCGAGCGGATCTGCGCCACGGCCTTGGTCCACGTGGAGATGAAGCTCTACGAGCTGCATCATCTCGTTGCACAGGTTCAAGCTTGCAGGTTCACGGCCATGGCTCAGCTCATCAGGAACTACAACAAAATATTCAAACGCTTGCGATCCCTTTTTGAGGGCTTCAAAAACCCCACGCGGGCGGTGAGAGAGCATTCATCAATTTGATCCTTACCCTTACGAAAGAACGTATCTTCATTTCAATGTTGCCAGGTGTCCCCTCACACATCGTATTAACCGAGATAGTCTAGGGCATTTATAACTAGGTTCACCGCCCTGCACTGAAAAAAAAAAACCCGCTAAAATCAACACATGAAATAGTGAAAAAAGGTGACAACTCATCAAAATAGATTAAGAACACCGGGTTGATTTTACTAATTTGGTGATTTGTCACCGTATTTTAGCAATTTTTTTTTTCAGTGTGGTAAAAATTGACAGTAGAATCTGTGTTCCAAAATACCATAGACCTAAAGCCGGCTGTAAGATTTCTAATAGTTTCTATAGCCGGCAACACAATTTCTTATAGCCTTTTATAGCCGATGGCGATTAAGCAACAGCCTGGCGATAAAAAGTGTGCTAAACGTTACTAATTACGGATGCTAGGACTTAGTGAGTTTTTGGACTGCCGCTCTCTTTTTGGGCCGTGGTATCTTGATTTATTTTGCGAGGAAAGCTCCGTACTTTTGAAGGATGCCTGCCATTCCTAATAAATTAGAGCGCCTTCAGTTTCGTATGATACTGTGCAATACCTCTGGTGTGAAATAGTTGCTTCAAGCGCCGCGGTACGCTGCGGCGCGGCGGTCGGGCAGCCAGCGCTGAACGCGCATTGGCGCCCACAAACCTAACAGGGATACTTCACGCATTGCGCAATGCGTGAAGTATTCCTGTTAGGTTTGTAGGCGCCGGTGCGCCGCGGCTCCGCTTAGTGTTAGGCTCTAATATTTAATCTCGTAGAGTCAGCGTTTTTCAACTCATGACTTTGAAATGTTTGCACACTCTGTATGGATTATTCTCATTTTAATGGATGAAAAAAAATATATAGTAAAGGAAAATATAATATGCGTTTTGTAAATATTAAGGTGATTCCGTACAAACTTAAGGATTTACAAAGCACAAGAATTTCTACACAATTTCTTATAGCCCTTTATAGCCGATTGCGAAAAAGCAAAAGCCAGGCGATAAAGTGTAAAGCCTGGCGATAGGAACTATAGCCGGGCTGTATAATTTTTTATCGCCTCGTGTAGCCCAGCCGTATGATTTTTTCCACTTTCTACAGCCAGCTATATGATTTTCTAACGCCTTCTTGAGTCGGCTATAAGAGCTTCTATGGTATTTTGAAACGCAGGTCCTATCGCCAATTTTTACCACGGCGATTACCGCTCGATTATTAAGTTCAATTAAAGACAATGAGCTGCCGAAGATTCTCATGTTTAAAGCTTCAAACAGAGCCCAAAATTTCGGTCCAAATGCCAAAATCCACAGCAATTCGCCTTTTCCAGTGTTCCACAACAAATTTCATACTAGACCCAAAGGACTCGGTCTATCATTTCCACAGATTGTACGGCTCAAGTAGTCCTGAACAACATATCCAAAGCTCACTATACGGTCCCTTGGACCCTTGCAGCATGAAATCCGATGTGATGTGTGCACAAAAAACGTGAATGTAGGTGGAAGTATGAGCATCCGTTTTGATACCGAAACACAAATTCTCTGTAAAATGTATATCATCAACCGCAAAAAATCTCTGGACTCCGAGAGTGGACCGTTTTTACCAAGTATCGACATTCCTCCTTCCACTAGTTTTTGCATAAGATCAGAGGAAAAATCAGTAAAACTTTTGATTAAAGATACCGAACCATTTTCTAGTAAAAATACAATTAGCGAGTTAAGATTTCGCATCTAACTCACGTATACCTCGATATCTATTTACGCTTTTTCGCTCTGGGAACTACAGAGTGTGGTGGTGTAGTATTATACTTGTGAAAGGAAATAGAAAAAAAATTTCTCAGAGAGGGACGTATCTCAATCTGGTTTTTTGTTCAATTATTTCGACGTGCAGTAACTGTTTCTGCCCACCTTTTAAAAAAAAAGGCGAAAAGATCTTAACAGAAAATTGGCAAAATTGGGCAAGAGAGCTCGATTCACTTCCATTCCGCTAGGTTGGCGCAAGTAAGTCCCGTGTGTTAACACGATCGCATCGTAGCAGTGGCGTAGCGTGCTCAGCGATATATCGATTTATCTGTCATTTAAACTTATGGAAAAGGATCGATAAACAGGGTGTTCGCAACGAATACCTAAATAATCGATTTTTTTTTACCATAACTTCAAATGGGGAAACATCAATAATTGACCATCCACATCTCGCCACTGGTCGTAGCATCCTAGAGAAAATTTGTGTGCATTCTCATTACTCCATCTACGTGCAAGTTCTGAATCTAAAAATGCACACGTCAACATGGCAGGGATTGTACGCCTTGAATACAAGGGAAATGAAAAGTTTTCATAATCTCCTATTTTTAGTTGTGAATTTTTAACAAATGCCCTATAACCACGTAACATCATATTTACCTTTCCGCATTTTTGGCAACAAAACGCATATATGAGTTGTTGAGAGTAAGCCAATGGAAAGGATTGCTATTCCTCGGATAAGTGAATAGAGTTTGATGTGGAGACGACTCGAGAGTTCTGAGAGAAGACATTCTTGATAAATTCCAATGCAGATGATTTTGAAATGTTCCATGCTTAATCTATCGCTCGGATTCATTGTTGCAGACGATGTTCCATTTCATGCAGTACGTGGAAAAGATCGACACCGTTTTATTGGAAGCTTTCAGATTGTGCGTGAAGAATTCGATGCAAAAAATATTAAGCTATCTAAGAGGGGATTTGATCAAAGGACCAAAACCGTTCGTCGTGTTGTACTTGACGCTAAGTAAGGAAAATGAGGTCAGTGTGATGTGTCATAATTGAATACTGAGGGTAGATTAGAATAAATGAGTGCATTCAAAATAGCGCGTAGAGCACAAGTGATTTTTAAGAAAATATTTAACTTTTAGCCACGGAAAATAGGTGCGTGGCGTGCTTTGCGCTGTATAGATTGATCTGCCATTTGAACCTATAGAATAGGATCAATGAAGAGGTTGTTTGCAACGAACACCTTTATAATTGATCCTCTACCATAGATTCAAATGGGAAAATATCGATAATTGATCATTCACGCTTCGCCACTGACGGAAAAAGATTAACGATGTACAAAAACCATCAAACGTTTTCACGCTATGGCTACTGGTAACGAAATACCATACATCAGTAATGAGGCTGGAAGCATCAGTGTCTTAGTTGCGGTATGCAACATTTCCGCACCCCCTTCATTTGTGTTTAAGAAGAACGAATCATTTGGATTAATCGCTCAAACTACCTTTTTTTTATGAAGTATTCTTCACATAAACAGAAATAACCTAAAAAGAATTTCAGATAAGACTTTTTTTTTGAGGGGGAAAGGGGTTGAGATTGAATATTCAAACCGACCAAAATCAATTTTAAGACCTTCGACCTATCATAACTCGGTCAAAAATTAAGATATTCATCTGCGGTTTGCGCCTCTTCGTTGTTTGTGTTGTTTTGAATGATGTATCACAAGATAGGAATTACCGTTTGAAAAAAATTTGGGGGCCCCCGCCCCCCGCCTAAGGGAGAGAAAACATTTGGACCCCTCATAGAAGAAGGTTCCCTTTTAGATAGAAACATTCCCAAAGTTTCGTTTTTCTATCTCTAACCGTTCAAAAGTTACCAGAGGGGGTAGGGGGTAGGAGGGTTTGGGACACCCTGTATTCATCTCTTTGACACTCACGTATGCGCTTTTACATGCTACAGGTGGAATTCATACCATCACTTACGGCGTGTTGTTCTTTTCTCCGGAACATTTTTTACGACCTCCTCATTTCAATTAAAGTAATTCCAAGGCTTGCTACGAAATTCAACCCGGCAGCTAAAGTTGAGCCTTATGCAGCTCGAATCGCACGGGACAAGGAAAGCACACGACTTCAAGTTCAAGTTGAGAGGGAAATTCAGAAACTTGTGTCTGAGGTCGACATCCACGTCCAGAAATGGGCTCCTCTCGAGGTGAGATAATTAATAAATTACAACGTGTAATTCGACTAATGCATGAAATACTCCAAGGACCTCGTGACCATGTGTTTTAAGAACGTATTACCAGGGATGGACGAGAGAGCCAATCTCCCGTCTCCTGCATTTAAAAGTTGAACTTTTTCGGAGTCATTTTATTTCGATCGATTTCACTGTACTTTCAGAGAAAATGTTTTGAGATCCCTCATGGCAATTTTGTCTCCCCCGTCTTAAATTCGACCGAAATTTCCGCGACTGTCGCCCAAAAGAATTTGATAATTTTCTGCAAAATTCGGGAGAAGAGGAAAGAATAATCTCTCATGGCCATAGGAATTTTAATTTTTATTGTAAAAGTTTTATTGGAGGTGTCAAGGATTTTTTCTGACTTTTCCCCCTCTTGCCAAGAAAACTTTGCCTCTTCCTAAGATTCGGTTGAGGAGGCTTCTGAATACACGAGGGATGAAACTCTCAGAAATGATTGCATACCTTATGTTAATGCGTACGACTATTGCGAGGAAAAAATTGTCTCCCTACAAAAAGTAACGATTAAAAATTTGCCGCTTAAGCAACGAAGTGTACAAAGTTAAAATTGTCCGTGTTCATAGTTACTTTGGGTTCCTTTTTAGGCTCCGCGGCCCCGGATGGTTTTTCCCGTTTCGCGCCTTAAACATCGATCTCACAGGAAAAATTCAAGGAAACCAATTTTGTTCCCGGTGAAATTTCTCATCGTCCTCCTGTAAAAAATTACGCTAAAATTAACTGTTAAGAAGTTAGTCAAAATTCAAAATTTGGGAGCCCCCTGCCGCCCAGGGGACTCAGATAATTTTTGGGGTCTATGTCTCAATCGAATGGCTTTAGGGTAGAGATGAATCCCTGGAAACTTCATGCTTCCTTCTAGAAATTCACGATTCTTATGGTATTCTCCAGTTATCGGCTCCTTTATAACAGGGTTGAAAAGAGCTTGATGCAAAAACGGCTTTTTTCGCCCCCCTTTGGAATTTCTTCAAACTTTGTCTACTGATTACTCATACTTGAGCGCTTCTTTTCCCAGATTTTCAGACCCCCAAATTTTACTTTCAGATCCCCATTTTGAGAGCCTGATAATCTGGGAAAAGAAGCGCTCAAGTATGAGTATAATCAATAGACAAAGTTTGAACAAATTTCAGAGGGGGCGACAAAAGTCGTTTTTGCATCAAGCTTTTATCAACCCTAAGATTTCGTCAATGCAACTCAAAGAAAAACGAGCCAAAAAATATTAACTGCCACTAAGGTTACTTTGTGTTCTTTTTCCTACACTAACACACAAAATATAGATTGGTTTTTTTTTTTTCACCGTGTACTTTACAGAAGCCACGATGAGACTCCCTTTTAATTATTCATTATTTTAAACGTTAGGACATCTGGTCTGTAGATAAAGATATCTTCATGAAAAACTACGAAAAAAGCAACCCATGCGCTGACACTTATGAGACTGACATCAACCGCCACAATTCATTGATGGAGACGATTGATTCTGCGCCCGACAGAGGGCAAGTATACTTCCTCCTGATCGATTCCGTGCTGCTGAAACGGGGCCTGACGGAACACTGTGCTGACTGGAAATCCCGACTTTTGGAACTTCTTTTTCAAACTACCTCCGCAGCGATCACTCGCACCCACGACTACGCCACAAGAAACATCGCCCGCATTACAACGAAACCTCGCTCAGCCACTGAAATACTCGACTCAATCAAGGTATTGTATACTACCTCGATTATCCGAGCATTCTAGCTATTACCCAAACTTACCTGGTTCTCCATTCTATTCCGCCGGCTGCAATTTAAAAATAGGATACGCTGGTACGCTGGTACGACCGTACAAATCTAACGTTTCCAAAAACTCTTTTGTAAGCAAAGTTTTTACTTTGTGGTTGACTTTAAACATTTTTTGGTCGAATGCGTAATACAAAAGCCGTTTTTTTAGCCCCCCTTCCTTCTCTGCAAAACAACCATAAAGCAACTTATCATCCCTCTTTTTGAATTACGTAAGATGGACCTGACCCCCCTCCACCCAAATATTTCAGGAAATAACGGAGTGAGCCTAAAAATTTGCTGAAAAAAATATTTTTTACGGAAAATGTTGTTAAATTTCTTATAGAAGAAGGCTCATGCAAGACTTGACTCGATCTTTTTCTCCCCATTGAAGACCTCTTACGGCAAACTTAGGCCCTATCTCCCCTAAAGTAGCTTACGTAATTGTTAAACGGTCCCTTATTTATTCATATGGAGGGATATAACATCAAATCACAGGATCGGTCTCCGAACCTCCGATGATACTGCTACTAGTGCTTACTTAATACTTACTCTCTTTAATGCATTCACCAACCAACACTAAAATACTTACTTAATTTTTTAATAAAATCTGTATTTGAATTGCAAAGGTGTAAATGTCCGAAGTTGCTAAAGGTATTCTATAGGTAAAATAATATATTCAACCACTAACACTACTTACTTACTTACTTACTTATTCGCTTACTTACTTGTAAACACTCTCATTTCAATTTTTCTAGAGGTGTACACTATACAAGGTCTTTGACGTTAAGCCACCTCATAAAAACAAACTCATTCTTCTAATACTACTACCACTTTTACATACTCATACTCACTTACTTACGTACTTAACGAAAAGAAACACAAGAAAATTGGGAATCACGGCTACAAACAAGCTTATTATTATTATTATTATTATTATTTTTTTTTTTTTGGTAAATGGGGGTTTGACTGTGAGGGGTTTTTTGGTTTCTTATATGTATTTTTATTTCCTGGTTGAGAAGGGGGTCGAAACCACCCCAAAACGTCCCAAGCATCCTTTTTCCGGTTCTCAGCCCAGCGGGCCGATTATTGAGAGTTTAAAGTAGCCCAATGAGACATCGAATTGCGATATATTGCATAGTTAAGATAGGGCTATGTCTTGTCGTATCGGGCTGACATAATTTCAATAATCGGGCCGCTGGTTGCCCACCTCCTTGCGTTTTGTTTGGTTAAATTATTCGGGCTTTTTGTGTTCCTTATTCTTCCTTACTTATCTTGTCCTGTATGCAGACGCACAAGCAACTGATGTCGGAGCTGGAGGTGATGAAGCTGCGATTCGTGACGATCGAGAGCAACGTAAGGGTATACCTGAAGGTGGCGAAAAGTATACCGGGGGCGCTGCTCGAGCAGAAGGGCGCCATGGAGGAGGCCTGGCGGGACTACGAGCGAATCCTCGGCGAGATCAACGCCGTCCTCAACGACTCTGCCCAACAGACGAGCAAGCTTCTCTTCGAGCGGGGTCGTGCCCGAGAGAAGGATACCCGCCCCTACTTAGAAAACGTACTCTCGGATCCAACATTCACTGACCAGTGGAACGTCGAGGATGCCTCTAAGTACTTGAACGAAGTCCTCTCTCAACTCCAGCGCATTTATAGAGACTTGGAAAAAGCCTAGTGGAGCACTAGACACGTTGTGAATGGAGATGTTGCATGTGTGAGGACTTCGCGATTTGACTGTTGATTCTCATGTAAAACTTCGCGAGAGACGAAGATGATGCCGAGAGATGGTGCCACTGGTTTTCTCTGAAATCATCTTCCAAGTTCAAAAACAGTGCGGTCAACAGCGGTTGGCGTGGAACGCACAGCGCCTACAAGACTGCAGGAATACTTCGCGCACTACGCCAAACACAGTGCGGCGCGGCGGCGGAAGTTAAAATTATAAATCCACATTTATGTTTGTTCTTTCGTAATTTTTTGGTTCTTATCTTATAAATTGAGGACCTTATCCACCCAGAGATAGGTTTACGGAACTTAAGTTTCGCGCCAAGTTCCGTGAAATTTTGTTAGTATTGTTGACAGAGCTTTCGCAAAAAATGTAACCAGCACGAGTAGGTAAACGCGTCTTATGCACCAATCTCCCTCCGGTACGTTCACTTCATGGTTTTTATTGATGTTTTAAAACGAATGAGAAGGGGGCGGCAAAATACAGGCGGCCCATGGGCGGCAAGTAGGCAAATCTGGCCCTGATTGATACGTATGTAAAAGTTCGCGAGAAACACGAATGTGCCACTGGTTTTCTCTGAAGTCAACTCTCAAGTTGAGGCCAAAATGGAGGGGATATCCAACGCTATCCTGAGAGTCCACTTCTACATCAAAACGAACTCTCCATGCAAAGATAGGGAGCGAATACATTAGCAGTGATGCCGCGTTTTCAGTTTTAGAGTATCCCCAAATAAAGTGGCAGCCCTGTCAATGTATTTGCTCCCTATCTTTGCATGGAGAGTTTGTTTTGATGTAGAGGTGGACTCTCAGAATAGCGTGGGATATTCTCTCCATTTTTGCCTCAACTTGAGAGCTTTTTTTGAGCTTCGGAGTTAATTTCAGAGAAAACTAGTGGGCACATCGTGTGGCTCACACATGCAACATCTCCATTGAAGGAAGCTGATATATGGATAGCATTTAGCAAGAAGGCACCAGCGCGATTAGTGTTGTAAAAGTGTTGTTTCTTCATGATTATCTAAAAAATCTCTCAAAATAGCGAATACTCTTTTCTTCCCACCAAATATTGTAATTTTAAAGGAGAATTATTGTGGGAGTTTTAATACTGTTATATTGAATATTTTCAAAAGGGAAGAAGAAGTTGCACAATGGGCCATTCCAAACTTTCGCTAGTAAATACTAGCAGTATTTTCTTGAGTGTGCTTGTATTCAAATTTTTTCCTCTATCTTTTAAATTTTGATAGAGATATTTTCCATCTCCAGGGGAAGAATTACATCCAGATGGAACTGTATTTGTAATGAATCCCAAGCCATCAATATTCATATATACAAATTGCCCTTCATGTATAGGAGTCTAATAGTATCGAGCATACGCAGGAAAACCAAAAATGGCTGAAACAACCACAAAAAAACCTTTAAAAAAAGGGTGAAAATTCCGTCAAGCCTATGAGATCTTGTCCCAAAATTAGTATGTATCTAAAAAAATTTAAAAAAAGAAGAGGGGGAAAAATAGTAGTCCCTCGAAAAATACAAAAGGAAAAAAGAAAATTAGCTCTCATTCTGTTTTCCGTCTCAAACCTCAAGATGCCTGATATCATTTGAGGTAAAGCTTTTTTAAGAGCTTACCTTTGAAGCAAGTTTAGTTGCCCGAGCCGCTAATACAAGGAGACATTGATGGATTCGTTTCCGACGAGAAGATGCCGAGAGATAAAACAAGCAGTTCTCCTTTCAGTCTCAAACCTCAAAATATTTGATATCTTTTGCAGTCAAGATTTTTTACCATTTCCGAATCTCACTTTCATTTGAGTTTTGCATTTTAGGGGGAAGAAAATCAACTCTCATACATCGAAGAACATTATTCAATTTTTCGCTAATTATTCGCCTTCATTTCAGGTAGCCGCAACTCTTCTTACCTAAGTACAATAGCTATGTAAGGAACCATTTTAATATTTACGAGACCTCCATCGTTTGAATCAATAATAGAATAAATATTTTGAATTCAGAATATGCCATCCTCTTTAAAAATTAAAAAAAAAAAAAAACAGTTAAATGAAGGCAGAATTTTTTTTAAAGAAACGAAAAAAAAATTGCTTAAAAAATTAACAATTCTGGCGAGACGATCCCGTTACGTATCATTTGAGTCTGTCGGTCTTCTTTTGGGCACAAAGATATAGGTTCAAGCGTTGAATGTAAAAATGTGTTTTTTTTTTTAATTTTCAAGGAGGATGCGATACTCTGAATTCAAAATATTTATTCTATTCTTGATTCAAACGATGGAGGTCTCGTAAATAATAAAATGGTTCCTTACATAGCTATTGTACCTAGGTAAGAAGAGTTGCGGCTACCTGAAATGAAGGCGAATAATTAGCGAAAAATTGAATAATGTTCTTTGATGTATGAGAGTTGATTTTCTTCCCCCTAAAATGCAAAACTCAAATGAAAGTGAGATTCGGAAATAGTAAAAAATCTTGACTGCAAAAGATATCAAATATTTTGAGGTTTGAGACTGAAAGGAGAACTGCTTGTTTTATCCCTCGGCATCTTCTCGTCGGAAACAAAGCCATCAATGTCTCCTTGTATTAGCGGCTCGGGCAACTAAACTTGCTTCAAAGGTAAGCTCTTAAAAAATCTTTACCTCAAATGATATCAGGCATCTTGAGGTTTGAGACGGAAAACAGAGTGAGAGCTAATTTTCTTTTTTCTTTTTGTAATTTTCGAGGACTTACTATTTTTCACCCTTTTTTAAAGGTTTATTCGTGGTGTACAGGTTTACTCCGAAGCGTATGATATATCAGGTTGTGGCGCTGTTACGAAAGCACGTAAAGTATTTTTGTAGGGAATTTTATTATATATGGTGTAAAGAAGAAGATATTTGACGCGACAAGAAGAGAAATAAATACTGACAATAATGTTTGGAACATTTACTGAATTTATGTACAAGTGTCTTTTTTACAATTGTCAACTCGGGTTTCGCGTTGAAAACGCAAGACTATCACAAAATATTGAAAATGTCCATTAGCCTAACGTAGGAATGAGTCAGCCTTATGTCTGCCGATTATGGACCACATGGAATTTATTTTAAGATATGTTAATTTATTAAGTAGAAAACAATGAATTATTTTGTTTATTTTTCAATAAAATATTTTGTTATTTTTTTCTTATTTCTTTACGATTTTGCATATGTCAGGGTACCCCTGTACCCATTCTGTGTCTCTCTGTATGGAACTTTGGAAACGGATCCTCGCGAGAGATTACAATGATTTGCCACGGCAAAAAGCACAAAATATACGGAGGGAAAACTTCCATAATTTTGTCAAACTTTAAGGCAGACGCGAGTCTACCATACATTTTACACACACCAAAGAAATAGTGAAGTTGATTTAACATTCTGGATGCAGAAAAAGTTTGCGAGTACTTATAAAATGCTAAATTACCCGCCATAGCAGTTAGTTTTACATTCTGGCACTGCTAAAGAAACTGCTACAGCGGGTTATTCAGCATTTCATAAGTTATCGCACACTCTCTTTACATTAATGAATTTACAAAAAATACATTTAAAATGTTAAATCAACTTCAAGTTTTTTTCGGTGCAACTTAAAAATGTTTTCTTTCGTATTCTGACTTTTTGTAGCGGTAAATCATTACTCTCTCTTGAATGGATCCGTTTTTAGAGTCATAATACTGCATTTTACTCAAGGTTTCTGAATTTCGTCTATTATGCTATGTTCAAGGCAACCTTGAACCTCCCTTAATTTATTGAGCGGCTTGGAGGAGAGGGAAAATACGTGCAGTTTTTGGAAAAATTGAGTTATTAATGATTTCAACTAAAACCACAGTCTTCAATTATTTTCTGTGAAAAATTTACTCCTAACATCTAATTTTGATGCATCAAAAACTGAGTTTGAACTTTAGCTCTGCTAGAAAGCTCCATGTAATTTTAAAACCCTAGACACGCACTCCTTGAAGTATCAAAAACTGCTTTTATGCACATTTTCTTTCAAGTCCCGCAATTACAGTGTAAACCATATGGGTCCCACACTGCCGTTCTAAGGAAATTGATGCATGAAAATCTAAGGGTTGCCAAATTACCTATCGGAAAAAACGAATTTTTGAAGGAAGTTTGGAATACCATTCCTTGAAATTTTTGGACACTTCCGATAAAATTAAGAAGAAAATTCCCCATAAAACCAGAGGAAAAATATTTATAAATCTTCTCGAAAATTCGTGATTCGTCAAAGGAAATTTGGCAACGTCTGAAGGCTCATACGGCGTTTTTCTTAGGCACGGCAATACCAGGAAGAGGGGCTGTTTTAGGAACGACTATGAATACGACCTAACTCGAGGAGGGGTATTTTAAACCTTAGGCTCGATTTTCTTCAGTGCCGGGATTTTGGCGAGAACCTCTTCAGTTTTAGTTTGAACGATGGCTTTCCTCTGCGCGACCGTCTGGTCCAGCTGCGTCTGTTTCTCCATCATCCCCAACTTGCGCTGTTCCAGAAGCGCGTCAATGGCGGCCTTCCTCTCGGCGAGCGCTGCCTGCCCGGCCACCAACACCGGTTTCTCCGCAGCCGCCGCTTTGGCGAGCTCCACCTTATCCCACACGATGGCGTTCTTCCCGACGGCCGGCACCTTGACTACCGGTTTCTCGACGGCCGGAACCGGATCCTCTACGACAGCTGCCTCGGCTACGGCGGCGACTTTTCCGAGCGCCAACTTGGACCCCAGGGGTTTCAGACTCAGCCGTTCGGCGAGTGGAGGCGGAGGCGGGGCACGCTTCTGAAGGACGCGAGCCAGTTGATCGGCTTCGTTGAGAGGTGAGGGCCCGAAACCGATTCCGAAGGATGGTCTCGACTGCGAACGGACCAGTCTCCGAGGGACAAAGTCCTCAAAACTATCGTCGTAGTTTTCGGAAAAATCGTCGAAGATATCCAGAGATCTTTTCGCGGGACTGGCATC